GATTGATGGTTCTCTCTCATCGATGTTTCTGGCTCTCTGTCCCTCTCTCTTCCTCTCTGTGAAAAGTCAATGGAATATGTTTGGGGGGAAAAAATTAACTTGCTGTTTTTGGTCAAACATTTAATTAACTCATTGCTAATGCCTTGGCAGAACCAGACCAAATGATAAAGCCCACAGGCTGTATGTTCCCCACTCCTGAGTTAGAGTGTAGGCCCACCGATTGAAGGGTCACAGGTTTGATTCCAATCAAGGGCACATACGTTGGTTTCAGGCTATGCAGACCCAGGCGGGGCATGTATAGGAGGCAACCAATCGATGTGTCTCACATTGATGTTTCTCTCTCTGTCCCTCCCCCTCCCTTCTATTATCTCTAAAAAATCAAAATATTCTTGGGGGAGGATTAACAACAACAACAACAACAACAACAACAAAAATATGATTAATCTGGAAGCACTGTTGCCTTAGGGAGAACAAATGATGTGCTGTGATACAGGCCATGGCCAAAATCCAGTGAGGTTAATAGTGACAAAGTAAGTGGTAAGTAAAAGTTGCTGTGGAGACTAGACAGCTGTTCCAGCTGCAAGGAGGTGGATGGTGATATTGGCACCTTGAGGAGGAAGAGGATGCAAGGTCAGAGGAAGAGTGTGTGAGTGACAGAGGAGTGGAAGTTCTTTCTATGCTTTTGTGATATCCTGGGATTCTTGACCAAGTCTTAAGGGCTTATAGAAGGCTTTTATTTATTCTTCATGTGTTCTTTTCCTGGATCAATGGCTTTGTATAAAATAATATTAGAGGTTGTCTGTCACTTTAAGAAGTTATACTGAGCCCTTCAGTCATGTGTCTTCAGAAGTTTTGGTTACATAACATTGCTCTGAATTGAAATTCTGCAGCCTCATGAACTGGAGTCTCACTCTGTCCCTCCCCCACCTGGCACTTTATTTTCTGTGGGTCAGGGTTAGTTTCTTTCTAACCATTGTTACAGAACTCCTTAAATATTTGGTCTCTCAGGTTCTAGAAGCTGGCAGGCCAGGCCTCTCCCTGTAAATTGTGAGACCAAAGCCTTCCAGAAAAGGAGCCAGTAAAATCTGAAGCATGTTAACAGAGTGTAGCAGCTGCACAGTACACCGCCCCATGTGCTGGGCTCCCAAATGCTGAGGCCAGCAGCTCCCAGCTACTGTGGCCACAACCAGAAGAGCCCTCTTGTACCATATCATGGCTGATTTGTAATCGTGGTGATGACAACAGATTAACTCACTGGCTCTTAGCACTGAGGCCTGGGTTTTGTCAGGGTCACTCACTGTTCCCTTGTTTCTCCCAATTTTCCATAGTGAGAGAACAAATTGGAGTCCACTGATAACAGTACAAATACCTGTTTGGAGCTTTGTGAGCTTTATCTAGAAGTTGTTTTCTTTATTTTTTTTAAAAATGTATTTTTATTGATTTCAGAGAGGAAGGGAGAGAGAGAGAAACATCAATGATGAGAATCAATGATCGGCTGCCTCCTACATGCCCCCTACTGAGGACTGAACCTGAAACTTGGGCATGTGCCCTTGACTGGATTAGAACCCAGGACCCTTCATTCCACAGGCTGACGCTCTATCCACTGAACAAAAGCCAGGGCTAGAAATTGGTTTTTTAATTTTTTTTTTTTTAAATATATTTTATTGATTTTTTACAGAGAGGAAGGGAGAGGGATAGAAAGCTAGAAACATTGATGAGAGAGAAACATTGACCAGCTGCCTCCTGCACTGGGGATGTGCCCACAACCAAGGTACATGCCTTTGACCGGGATCAAACCCGGAACCCTCAGTCCGCAGGCCGATGCTCTATGCACTGAGCCAAATCGGTTCGGCGAAGCTGTTTTTTTTAAAGCCCATACTGAATGTCTCTTTTTCTTCTCGCATCCTCTCAATATATCCTATGGTTTTTAAAAATAATTTAAAGCAACTTGCTGATAATACATATAGTGCAGTGAATTTTTAAAAATTAAGACATGGGGCAAAAGGAATATATGCATAGAAAAATTAGGCACAAGTAGGATAAAAGTTCACAAAGTTTAAACTATAAACATGATCCTCTAGAGTAGGGGTGTCGAACTCAATCAGAGAAGGGGCCAAAATCTAAAATCCAGCCTAAATCGCGGGCCGAATGGTTTACTGAACAGTCATAAACTGTCATTGTGATGGAAACGCAGCGGAGTGCAATGATGACAGCACGGTGCGGGCCACATTGCAAGGCCTGGCGGGACGGATTTGGCCCGAGGGCCTTGTGTTTGACACATGTGCTCTAGAGGCAAGCCTCAAATGTTTTTCTGAGCTTCCTGATAGCCAAAGCAGAGAAGGAAATCTAAAAGGATGAACTCATATGTCTACGATACAAACCAACCATCAACTCAGGAGAAGAGTGAGTCCTTGCACTGTATAAACTTCCTTCATAAAAGAGACACTGAGTGATGCAAAGGACAGGGCTCTCATCAGCTCCCCCACAGTGAATAGTACAGCTATTTGGTTGACTTCTTGCAATGTCTCTTAGGTTAGGCTTGTGGGACAAGGACTGCACTGGAGGCCTGTCAAAGAGTGCTGTCCTGAGGATCTTGCCTCTGGAAGATGCTCTGCCATAAAAAGTGCCATGATCAAAAGAATCAGGCAAGAACTGTACTATACCAGCATATTGAAGGCTCTGCAAAGCCCTACACAATGGTGATGGAAGGATACTTGACTTGGGTTGGTGAACACACTATACAGTATACAGATGATGTACTGTAGAATTGTACCCCTGAAACCTGTGTAATTTTATTAACCAATCTCACCCCAATAAATTGAATAAAAAAGTCCTAAAATTAAGAAACTGGCCCAGAATTTCCCAAACAGAATTACAGGAACTTTTTAAAAAAATTAGAATACTTGACATATTGGGAAACATTGATCTAAAATGGGCCAGCAGACACAGGATATCCACCTCATCTTGCTGCTGCCCAAGATGCATTTCATCTGTAAGTTCCTTTAATAAACTTTTGATAACACATACACACACACACACACACACACACACACACACACACACAATAGGAGCAGCAAACTTTCTGCTTTGAGCCAGATATATATGTAGTTTAAGCATATAGTCTTGTCATAACTACACAACTCTGCCATTATACTGAAAAACGGTGGCTCTGTTTCAATAGAGCTTCATTTATGGATACAGAAATTTGAATATCATGTAATTTTCACGTCATGCAATAATATTCTTCTATTTGATTTTTTTTCAGCTACTTAAAAATGCAAAAACCATTCTTAGCTTTCAGGCCATTCAAAACAGGTGAGGCCCCATTTGGTCTGTGAACTGTAGTTTGCTGACCCCTGATGAAGACTTGGATGGTATGCTTTTCCAGCAAACTTTTCTAAGGACTATTCCTCAGAGTTGTCTTAATTTAGACTTGTATGTTCTTGGTTTAAGAGCAGATAAGTAGAAAAGAATTGGTTTGAGAGCTTGCAGGTTAGTCTAAGATTTTTCTCAGAAACAGTTTGTGGGTCCTCCCAAAGAAGACATTGACAGACTAAGAACTGAGATTTATAGTTTTACTCTGTTACATATGGCTGGGTCAATTTGAGGCTTGAAATGTTTTAGTGGGAATTATCATTCATTCATAGAAATAGAAGTCTCAAATCACCCAGAGACATTCAATTTTAAGAAAACATAGCTTCCTAGTCAAGGCTCCAAGTAAACCAATGAACTATGTCCTCTACCAAGCTAAGAGTATTCTTTTTTATTTTGACTAGAGGGATGTTCTTCCAGCTTGTTACAATGAAAGGACTAAAATATTCCCACCACCAAGTCTGACATTTCAATTTCAGTTCAACAACTATTTATTGATACTCAGTACATATAAAGCATATTGCTTGCTTTTATGGGGCATACAAAAAGAACCAAGAAGCAGACAGTTCCTTCTTTACCTTGTGAATCAAGTTCAAGATCCTAACCAATTTAGAGCCCATTACTGTTGTATCAGGATTAATTTCATCTTATTGTCAGCATTCACTCATTCATTCATTTAACATACACTTGTGAATTGCAGCCTATGTTCATAGCACTGAAACATAGCCTTTAGTCACCTGCTAAACACCCAATCTTCAGCCCAGTGCTTGGGGAGGAAAGGACAGAAGTTACGGAAAATTGAGGTCAGAGTCTGCCCAGATCTTTAGCCATTTGATAGGAATGGCTGGATTGGGTGGGCATGTTATTTGAGAAAATCTAAAGCAAAAAGAGAGTGGCTGGGGCTTCACAGAGTAAGAGTGGAATTGCATAGGGATAGTTTGTGGAAATAAATGGACAGAGAGTGTACTTGATTATATGAGCTTGGGGAGGTATATAATTGTTCGTGGAAACAAACTGTGATTAGGGACATTTCCAAGTAGAATTATATTATAGCTAATTATATGGCCGAAAGTTTTTTTTGCAAAACTTATTCTTGGGTCCCCTGCCCATGTTATAACATTCTAGGTTTTTGGTTTTTTTTAAACACACCCCTTTTTTGGAAGATAGAAGCAATAAATTTCTTCACATAGTTCCTTGAAGGATAGGTTCCCATGAACCACTGAGGAAGGGGGAAGCAAAAATACGAACTGATGACTGGAGAGTTGTTTACCAGAGATTTGTCCCTGTAGTCAGACAGCTCCTCTTGAGCAGCCTCATTCATGGATGCCGCCTCATTTCCACCTTCTCACACCTATTCCTGTTCAGGGTCAAGAAGAAGTAGGTACCAGTTCACAGAGAGGAAGAAAAAGATACAGAGACAATATGGAGCCTTGCTGTCTCCTCCTATTGTCTCTCCCCAGTCTCACATTTTACTGAAGACCCCTCCTCAAAGAGACATACGAGTTACTCTTCACTGTGCCTAGTATTTGTACATTTTCAAAATAATTATTTCTTTAAAGCTAATACCACAGTAGGGTAAACTTTCTGTTATTTGCAGCATCACTAATTATATCTTCAATCTTTTCTAGAAAAGACTGTGTCTTCACCATTGACCCATCAACTGCCCGAGACCTTGATGACGCCCTCTCCTGCAAGCTACTTGCTGACGGTAGGATAGAAATGTCTCTACAATTCTGGGTAGCAAACAGCGTGCATACCTATGTGGTTAGTCTGGCTGCTGTGTATTCCCCTGGCAGTGCAATGTGCAGGCTGAGATTTGCCTTGTTCCTGAATTTGCCATAAGCTTCTGAGGCCACACAAGTATGTGACATAAGGATTGTGTTCCTGTGATGACTTTGGTGAGGGTGAGAATAAGAAATGTCTTTTCTACGGGATCCTTCTTGGGCCTTACAAGAGGCAGCAGAAAGGGCAGAATAACTAATTCCAGGCCTTGGCCTTCAGTAAATTCCAGTCTGGGTGGGATGTGGTAAAAAAAAAAAAAAAAAAAGAAAAGAAAGAAAGAAATCCCTGAAAGCTCTGCTTGAGAGAAGCATAGGCCTCTTTACCTGAATTGGACAACATATGGAGTGGTCAAGGGTGCTCTCCAAAGGCATGCTCAGCAATGGGTGTTAGGAACACCTGCCCTGAGGAATGTTCCTCAAATGAACTGGAGAAGCCTGCACTGTTCCCAGTAGGTCTTCATCTGTCCAGCGAATTGCAAAAGGCAGCTGTTAGGGACTCTTTTAACAATCTTTTGGGATGGAGCTAAGCAAGAAAAGGTGGGATTTGAGGCATCAGCCTTTGAAAACTGCAGTAGGGGAAAATGGAATGTGGGGGTGGTGGTGAGAAGAGCAAACTCTATCAATTCCAATTTTAATGTCTCCCCAGGATGTACTACTTAAGTCTTAGCTACTTCATGCCCCTCTCTAGGATAATGACTGGGTGACTGCTTTGGCTTCAGTCTTTCTTGGATATGGTTTTGGTAGTAACATGGCCTGGCATGGCTTGCCTATGATGGATGTCCACCCTGGGTTTCAAACTGTAACAAAGTGTTGACGGCCTAGTGGCTTAGTCTTATAAAACATTGCAGAGGTGTTCACATATTCCACTGGGGCAAAACTGCATAGCTTCAATGTCTAATCTCTACTCTAGTAGGCAGTGAAGCATAGTAGAGAGAATCCAGAGAGACAGAAAGCATTATTGCCTAAAAGTGCTTTTATCGTCTTTTAATGGAGTCCTCCTTAAAACTATGGGGGAAATAGCTCAGTATTTTCAACTAGAGAAATTTGAAAGGAAGATAAAGCATAAAGAGAAGAAAGTCCCCATGGAAATTTTTGAGGATTTTTAAAATCTAAAATTTGAACAGCCTACTTAAAAAAGCAAATACTGGGTTAGTTTCTTATATCTTGAGCCATCTGTGCATATAAAGGCTTGGGCATAGATCGTCATCAGTATGAGTTCTACTCCCCTGAACCCAGTGTGAAAAGTGCCCTGGGCAGAAAGCCAGGTGACAGTGGACACACTTACTGTATTGCCCTTCTCCCCAGGTTCACAGCCCTGCTCTGTTTGTAATCAAGTGCTTGAAAACAGCTGCTTCATTTATTTTGTCCACTTTTATAGTGTTAATGGCAGGAGGATAGGTCTAATATCTGTTACTCCGTCTTGGCTGGGCCCAATGAATTTGCCTTGTAGGGACGGACACTGGGGAGCTGGCACATGTCCTGCCCCACTCACTCAATCCTAGTTTTGCGTGTACAGGATCACTGCAAAGGTTTCACGTGGGCTAATGGTAACAGATAGGCAAGAAAGGTTGACTGGGGACAAATTGTACATTTTTAAAATTTTTCATCTAGAGAATATACTTTGTCAGACAGTCAAATAAATTGTTTTCCATCTGTGGGTCAGGGAGAGCAGTGAAGTGAGGGAAACCATTTAGCAGCACAAGATAAAGGATAGGAAAGGAAGTAGAGCAGAGAAATGAGTCAGAAAAACATTATAATTGTTTAGGAATATAAGTAGGTAATAAGGAACTGGACCAGAGATGGTGACAGTTTTGATGGGGGTGGGGAGGACAGATGTGAGAAAGGGGTAACAATAGAATAACCAATGGAAATGAATGTTAGAATCCAGGGAGAGTAGTTCAAGAAGGGGCAAAAGTTTCTACCTCGATGATGAGGGGGTGAAATCCATAATTTAGAAACCGGGAAGACAGGAGGTCAGGCTGGCTTTGGAGAGAGTATGTCCACATGGAGTTGTCTGCTTGATGATATGAATTTATATAAGCTGCTGCAAATCCTTTTCAGAGGAGGTGGGGCGCAAATAAGCTACATACATATGGTCCATTAACTACATCCGGAGAGCCCTGAAGAAAAGTAGACAGTGCACCAAATGCAAACAGTGATTTTATTGGGATGATGGGATCATAAGTGATTTTTCTCTCTTCTCTAGTTTCCAAATTTTTATAATGTGGTAATAATAGTTTTATAATGAAAAAAATTTTGTAATAAAAAAATATTATGAGGTGCCAGAAATCACAGGGCTGCCGAGTAGCGCACTGCACCAGGTGACTAGATACCTTCCATCTGCTTAGTTATTCTTGCATTCCAGAGGGGTAATTAACATCTGGTCATTTGGCAAAGCAGCAGAAAAAGGACATGGAAAAGGAGTCAGGGAAGAATCTGCAAAGGCCTCAGTTAGTCAAGTGTTTTTATGGTGGCACTTCTACAGTTGGCCTTTGTGACAGCAGTTTCTGCCAAAGCCATTTATCCAGGGAACTGAAAAGTAAAAGTCAGTTCCAGTTTGGATGAGGGTGAGTTTGGCAAAGTTCAGGTTCCGTTAGTTAACAATTCAGTCAATTCTTTCTTAGAGGAAAAAATGTTTAATGTTTCAAAGAGCAAATAATGTTTTCTGGCCATATTTACATCATCTAAACCATTTTATTATTTTTTTATTGAATTTATTGGGGTGACATTGGTTAATAAAAATATATAGGTTTCATATATATACATATATATATATATATATATAATTCTATATATAACCATTTTTATTTAAAGAAAATATATAGGTCAAACTTTACTTTGTTCCCATTGAAATATTCTGAATGACTGTTCTGTGAAAATAAAACATGCAGACAGATGTAGTTTACTTAGTTCTCATTCTCCCTTTCTACGGAGTTCATATGTAACCCCAGGGCTTGTTATCAATATCTCCTGTAGGTAGGAGACTGAGACTATACAGTCTGAAGATAAATTCTGCAGAAACACAGTTACACCTGTTTGTTCTCTAGTAGGTCCTGATTAGGTTGAAAGGGTAGGGAGGTGCTCCTACCCTTGAATCTCAGCTTTGGAAGGGATCCTACATCTAGCTGGTAATGCTCCAACTTGTGTAGCCTATAAGCACACTTGAGTGGAACATTCTCATGACAGTACCCAGGAAGCTATCTTGAACATAGAGTTTTTCATTTTTTGCTCAAGAAAATAATAATTCAAGTGAATAAAAGTGGTGTTATATTGAGAACTCCGAATCTAAAGTCAGTAAATCACATACTTCAGTTTTATTGATGTAATGGATCACTTGCAACACACTTCACAGTTGACCTCACCAGTCACGTGTGAGAATGCCACAGTTGTCACACCACCTTCTGGTTTTCAAGCCTCTGCTGTGTTTCCCAAACTTTTGACATATGTGTACCCCTTCTATAATTTTCGTAACGCTGAGTACCCCTCGTATTCATGAGAACATAGAATTAGGCGCAGCTAAGCACGGTGCAGTGCATATCCCCACCAAACTCCGGTGCAACGCGTACCCCCACCAAACTCTTCCCGTATCCCTGGGGGTACGCGTACCACACTTTGGCAAACACTGCTCTATAACATCACTTACTGAATTACAGATTGCATTTAACACTCTACCTGATAGGCAGCCCCTTGGCCTGAAGATTATATGAATAATTGGAACTCCTTCCCTCTAATGACCTAAAATAACGCTATCTCCTTGTAACTTTCTACCCATTAGTACCATTTATGCTCCTTGCAGCCTACACAAGTTTTGTCTGTCGTGTGATAACCCTTCAGATATTAGATAATAGCTGTCACATTTCTCTGAGTCACTTCTCAGCTGAGCATCCTACATATTCTTCCATGTCCTGTAGCTTTCGCAATTTGAGTCCATTTCCTGTGTCATAGAGTATTTTCTGCCTATCTGGGACCTGAGGTACATAGCTGTCTATATCCAGACTTCTCCTTTCTGGTGGCCAGGGCATGGTGACTCTCTTGCTACTGGATGAGATCTGAGTTTGGTGTAATAGCAACCAATTCTGTTCAATTAAATAAGCATTATTGCTGTGTTCTAATCTCTGAGCGAGGAAGTTGTTAGCCAAACAAGCAAGGACCTTTATTCAGCTTTTAGCTGTTCAAGCTTCCAATAGTCCTTATAAGAAATTGATGTTCACCATTTCTCTATCATCTTTTTTCTGTAATGCTTTCTTCTCTAATGATGCTCTGCCATCTAAGCATGACAGGATTATCCTAGGCAGGCCTTCGAAATGAAGGACTGGAACTAAAGAGAGGAGGAAATGAGGAATGACTGCTAATGGGTTTAGGTTTTCTTTTGGGGGTGATGAAATATTCTGGAAGTAAAGTGTTGATGGTTGCACAACTTTGTGAATATACTGAAAACCACTGGGGGGGGGGGGAGGAAAAGGAGTATGTGAATCAGTGAATAAGAATAAACAAACAAATCCACTCATCCTTGAGGCTTTCTGGAAATTGGAATATACACCTTAACCACAGTTTAGCAGAAGTCTTGATGGAATGCCTAGGCTAGATACACGTAGTCACATCCCTCTTCTCTCTCTCTACTCCTTGCTGCTTTAATCTCCGAATTAATGAGCACACCCCTCTGTTCAGCCACCTGCTCATATTTCCCTTACCCTCAGAGTGCAGCCATCTTACTCAGAAGAAAGAAGGATCTGTCCTACTGTCCAGGTAAAAGGACATCATCTAGCCCAAGGGACCTGAGGAATGCAAAGTACTGTGCTCTCGGGACGCCAGTCTTCCCGTCTGTTCTTGTTTCCTGATGCCTCTCTGGTTGCAAGGCTTTCCCTTCTCTGAGAAGCATGGACTAGGAACTCTGTCTCAGGGAGCCCTTTGGTAAGGGAACATGAAT